AGAGAGAGACATAGAGACAGAAAGCGAGAAATCACCCCCCAGGGGGGATGGTCACGCCGCAATCCCTTCTCCTCCATTCTCCTCTCGGGATCTTGGGCACGCACGCACACGTGCCTGGCATGAGTTTTAAGCCACCGGGTCCGGGACACAAACCACGGTTGACTACGTCGGAGTCCAGCGACATAGCCATTACGCTAACTGCTGGTTCCCCCCTTTATGTTCTCTTCTAAGAGTTCTATGTCTTATGTTTTCATCTTTGATCTCTTTTGAATTAATTTTTTTATATGTAGTTTAGGAACTTACTGTGTTAATGAAAGTATACCTCAAATAAAATTTTGTCAAATACATAGGTATTTACTAAATACATTAATATACACAAGAGTCCAGAAAAACCCTCTTCATAAGTCAGAACATGTCACAGCATGTCCATCTTGCTACCTGGGTCTACCTGACCACACCTTGTGAGAAACTTTTATATGATAAAGATGTGAAAGAGGAAGAGTTTTGTCTAATTATTCGCAACAGGCAAGGAGACATCCACCTAAACTAGCAGCTGGAATAGCTCTGCCAGAGTATCATGCCTTGGCACCATTTCTTGCTTGAGCCTTATCCTTCAGATGTTTTATTCAATTCACTTAAATTGAATTTTTCCGGTGTCTCTAATGAAAGCTAATGTCTAACACTCTTTATGCTAATTAAATAAGTAATTTATTTCACAGATGAAAAGCTATTTCTGATATTTAGTTTGCCAAATAGCAAAGCCTCTGATGTTGATGAACATATGAAAACTGAAAGAGAGAGGAATAACTGGTATACTTTGCCAGGTCTGAAATGCTGCCCTAGCTGATCTTGGGAATCTGGACTTTCAGTGCCAATGGCCCTAAACATAAAGTTTAAGCTAATTGATCTATACATTGTATCTTACTGTTGGTACTATTATTTTATGAATTTCTTAATTTATCAAATAAATTACAAAAGTAGCAATATCTGTCCAGTTTTTGACTTATTTAACTTATAGCTCAACTCAGTGATTACAGTGTGGTTTTTGTTTTAGTTTATACTTCTGCCATATTCTTTTCTTTGTTTTGTTTGATTTTGATCAAAAGGTTTTAGGAAAATATACCTGAGCAAAGAAAATGCCGTAAAGAGAATGTAGGGCATACATGTTTTGAGTGTCTGCATCCTAAAGTGGTGAAATATTTTGTTATTCTGAAATCCTAATGAGCCATTTTCTATGGCTCACAACAGCCTCCTTTGTAAGCTTTGGTTTGTCTCCTGGATTTGGGTGTGGTTACTAGCCTTCTCATTCTGTCCCTTTTCTGTTGGGTTGCAACTGGTAAGGTCTTTCTTTGCCAGAAAATCACTCTTCAATTCTTTTGTTCTTGGCAGGTTCATTTACTTTTTCATGGTTTCTCTCCCAAATAGTTTCCAACCTGGATCCAAGATAAATAGGTTTCCTTGGCCTTTTGGTGTTCCATGGCACCTTAGTACAGTCTGTCCTTTAGCTTTGCCACAAGTTGTAAACAATTTTTAAAGGGACATTAAATGATTTAGAGATGCTAGTTCAGAGAATTATCAGATTGAATGGATTGTCTGGTCTTATATTTCCCTCTAGTCCTACATAGCATCTTTCTCTCCAAAGAAAGATTTTATTACCGGAAAAAAAAAGTTGAGACTGGTATGGTTACAAACATGAAATGCCTGCAAGGGAATGTGTTATGAATCTATAGGGAGTAGCATAAACTACTGTTTTAATGTTTTGTATATAGGTAAATTGATGACATGATTTTGCAATATTTCAGTTAGGGCTTTTTGTGATCGAATTAATAGCACTTACATTTTTTTTTAAAATTTTTACATATAGCAAGATCAACTTTATACTTGGGCTGCAGTTAGTCAACCCACCCACTCGCTGGATTACACAGAAGGGCAGTTTCCCAGGAGAGTCCCATCTGCGTGGTCACCATCTAAACCTCTCGATGAAGAACACAAGCCCAAGGATGCTGAAACAGGTAGGCCATGAGACAGTGACTCTTCTCAAAGTGTGTAACATAATGAATGTATTTTTGCAGTTCTTACTGGATACTGAGTCTGCATATCTCTTCTAAGTATGTGTTAGAGTATAATCTGAAGATAACCCAGTTAAAATCACTGGGAAGCCTATTAAATCAAAGATTCTCATGCCCCGGTTTCCAGACTGCTGAGTTAGAATTTCTACTCACTCACCGCTTTCTTTGTGTTTTTCTTAATTCTTTTCTTTACTTTCAGAGATAACTGGAAGAGAAAAGAATGTAAGTTTTATTAAATCTCATTTTTAAAGTAACTTAAAAGAAATTGAACAGCATTCAGCTGTAATCTTTCTTTTTCTTAAACATTTCTTTTTTTTGCTTTGTTCCTTTTGTTGTCTTAAAGCTTTTTGTGTTGGGGCCAGCAGGTGGTGTGGTCATTAAAGTATTGGACTCCCATGGATGACCGCAGTTCGAGTCCCAGACCTGGTGACTTGAAATCACAACCGAGCACGTGTACATGTGTACCTAAAATCCTAGGAGGAGAATGGAGAAGGGATTGCGGCATGACCATCCCCTGCCCCTACCCCTGCTCCCAGGAGTGATTTCTCACTTTTTCTCTCACGGTCTCTCTTTCTCTCCCTAACAAGTGTTTTTTGGTGTTATTTTTTGAGAAGATAGCATGAGATTAACATGAACTTTATTTGGAGGAGTTCTTTGGGATAATGATCTTCACGTCCAGCTTTAGGAAAACACTTTATATTTGCGACATAGCATTAAGAATTATGTTTGTATAATAAACTTTTGTTTCGTCCCTTGTTTTTTCTTCATTTTGATATTATAAATTACCAACGTTCTCTTGGTGCATTGAGTAGGAATAAACGAGAAATAAACAGAAGAACATCATTTCATTGCTATTCACAGATCTCTCTCTATCTCTCACCAGATTTTCCTAAATGGTAGGATAGGTGTTAGAGTTAAGCATTTTGACTTTTTTTTTTTTTTTTCTCATTGGCTCATAGAGGAAAAAATAGTCATTAGAAACTTAATTTGGACCTGTAGTGGAAGAGTACAATATACGAGCACTATATAAGAGCCTCGGCCACTTACTGGTTTTGTAATCTCAGGTAAATTTCCTAGCGAGTATATTTAGTTTCCTGATCTGTAAATCGGTGATGAGTGTAGTATCTACTGCTTATGGCTATTTCGAGGATTATATGAGTTTGTGTAAAGCATTAGAAAGCAGAATGCAGTGAGTGGCTGGCTCAGTGAAAGAGTTTACTATTATTATTATTATTTTATCATTATTTCATGCCATTATCATCTTCATGAATTCCCTTTAAAGCCAACAATGACCAACACTGTCAAAGCTTTTATTCTAGCACCTGCCTGAAGTTCTGCAAAGGTAACCTGATCTCTTGTTTTTATCCCTGTCTCTGGAGGGATGTGTTTACTTCTTTCTTCTTTCCACCAAGGCATGGCACAGGGCCGACACATGACACTGCAAGATCTTTTTTTAATGTCCAGTCATTTTGAGGTACTGCTGAGTATTCACTAGGTGGGCTGTATTTCCCAAAATAAACAACAGTGAGAAAAAGAGCTCACCAAATGTTCTGTGTAGGAATCTGAGTTGATCCTAAGGTTTACGCATCAAGAGCAGTTGATCTAGAGCCATGGTTGGTCCTTACAGCCAAGATCATCAGAGAAGAGATGCTCTCACGTCATCACACCTGAAAATAAAGGAAGCAAGTGAAAGTATGCATTTTTTACTTTTTAGAAGAAAAAAGGCACAACTTGAAAGTGTTGATCCCATTATATACAATGTTCTGTTTATGTTAGAAGTTATTTTTAATTCAAAACACCCAGGTGTAAATATAGTAGAGTTAAGAGTGAATCACATTGATTGAGACTTTTTTTTTAAGAGAGATTTTTGTTATAGGGTATGTGTACTCGCTGGAGAGACAGAGAGACAGAGAGAAAGAGCGAAATCCCCCTCCCCGCCCCCAGGGAGTATGGCCACGCCACGATTCCTTCTCCTTCATTCTCCTTTTAGGATTTTGGGCATACACACATGCACCTGGCGTCCTGTGGTTCAGGGCTTGAGCCATGATCAACTGTGTGGGAGTCCAGCGAGATAAACATTACGCCATCTGTTGGTCCCTCATTGAAACATTTTTTAAGAGTAGGTCATAGCCTATGTTTCGCATCATTGATTAGGGTGAGAGTGATATTTTCATGTTTTTTCTTCCCTACTGTATTTTTCTCAACTCTTTTTTTTTTTTTTTTTTTTTTTTTTGTTTTTTTGGTTTTACTTTTTTTTTTTTTTTTTTTTTGAGAGATTTTCCTATAGGACATGTGTGCTCACTAGAGAGACACAGAGAGAGAGAGGCAAAAAAGACAGAAAGTGAGAAATCCGTCCCCCCTCAGGAGTATGGCCATGCCACAAGTCCCTATCTTCCCTTCTCCTCTCAAGATTTGGGGCATGCAACACATGCACTTGGTGTGAGTTTCAAGTCACTGGGTCCAGGACTCAAACTGAAGTTGGCCAGTTGGGGTCCAGCCCTGTGCCACCTGCTGGCCCTCTTTTTCTCACTCTTTAAATGGAACATTTATATCATATTCTAAAATTTTAGTATACTTAAAAAAATTTAAAAACATTTCAGTTATTGGTTATGTATACTAGAGGAACAGTTGACTGAACATTAATTAAGAGTGGTAATCTAAACTTTAGTTTGGTAAAAGATGAGAATTAAAATTAATACTGGGATGTTTGTAACCTAGTTTTTTCTGTATTATTTGGTGTAACTTGCAAAATGCCAGAGCAAGTCATTTTTTAAACCAATAACTTGTCTCCTTTTAAAATATGCATTCTTACAGAGGATGATGGAGGTAAGTTGACAGTAATTTAACTTAGTGACTTGTTTGTTTTTCTCCTGTTGATCTGTTATAAGCACCAACAAGCATACAGCATTCTTTCTACCAAAGTGATCTGATAATGCTTTCTAAAGTTTCCCTGCAATGAGCCCGTGAAGTTTACCGGAAAGTTTTCCCAGGAACAGTCTCGTTCTAGGGGAACCCTACCGCTCTGTCTTCCAATCAGACAATCACTTCTAAGAGCTGGCTGTCTGTGTGGAAGACAAACAATGTCAATATCATAGGAAAACCTTGCATACAGTCTTGTGTTGTTTTCTTTCTCTCTCTCTCTCTTTTTTTTTTTTGGAGAGGTTTTTGCTATAGGGCCGTGCGCTCGCCAGACAGACAGAGACATAGAGACAGAAAGTGAGAAATCACCCCCCAGAGGGGATGGCCATGCCGCACTCCCTTCTTCATTCTCCTCTCAGGATCTTGGACCCGCACGCACATGCACCTGGTGTTAGTTTAAGCCACTGGGTCCGGGACTCGAACCATGGTCTACTACATGGGAGTCCAGCGACATAGCCATTACACCAACTGCTGGTCCCGAGTCTTGTGTTGTTTTCTGTCATTTACAGATTTTGATGATATAATTCTAATGGTAATAAGCTATTTTAGCAGCATGCTTAAATGATGGCTATACGTTATTCTGTCATGACATCATGGCTCAAACCACTACATGCAACTTGTGAGCCCTTTCCACTTTACAGCCGGAGTTCTTTTTGAAGAAGACTTACAAGTCAATTTTTGAAAATTGAGAACTTGTTTTCTGGTTTTAGTTTTGTTTTGCCTTTTTTTTTTTTTTTTAAATTCCAGCTCTTCTTAAAATTGGTTACTAGTTCATATGTCCAGTTAATTCAGATTTGTGGTACTGTTTCTTCTGTCTTTCTCATGTATCTCACTTTAATTTTTCTATAAATCCTTCCATAGAAGAGGGTCTTCTTTCCCTTCATGTACTGATGAAGGAGCGGACCCTTCTTTATATAAATGGGAAGTCTGGTACCTCTTTTCACCAGGGAGTTGCAGAAGGACCACAGATGTCTGTGAATCCTTTGTTCCCATTCTGCCTCTCTAGGCAGTTGGGATTTGTCCACAGATAGTCCTAGGGTGTTAAAACTGCCCCTCGGAGTCTGAGAAAGCCTCCCGGTGGTTAACACTGCCTGGAAAGGGAATTAGATTGTAATGTGCTCCCAATGTACTCACACACTTACCCCCGATAGTTCTTCTTTCTTGAGTCCCATGACATCCTGTGTATATCTATCTGTTATATTTATAATTATAATTATCTATCTGTTGTAATTAAAAAAAAAAATTGACAGAGGGCTTGTATGCTCACCAGAGGAAGACAGCCAGAGAAGGGAAGAAAGCATCCCCAGTGCGGTGTGGTCCCACTGCAATCCCTTCTCTTCTATCTCTCTTTCTTGTTGAAATTTTGGGCATACCATGTTTTCCAGGTCCCTGGAGCCAGGATCTGAATTGTGTGGTTAGTTACAAGGGAACCAGCTCCCTAACCATGAGGCTACAGGGCCAGCCCTATTGATTGTAATTTTTATCTATCTATCATCTATCTATATCTATCTATCTACTTATCTATCTTTATTATTATTATTATTTTTAAAATCTGCTATAGGGCACATGCACTCCCCATAGAGATACAGAGAGACAGAGACACAGAGAGAAAGTGAAAAAGCAAGTTGCCAGGTCTGAGACTCAAACTGTGATTGGCCATGTGGGGGTCCAGTGCCTTAACCACCATGCCACCTGCTGGTCCCTATCTAGACATATTTTCCAGCAATTCCAGACCATTTGGCACATAGTATATATTTAAACGTTTGAGTAAATAAATGGAGATCTTTTGTTGGAAAAGTTCTAAGTAGATAAAATGTCTACTTAGCACATACATGCAAGATTTAAAGGAGAGTTTTGTGTGTGTGCTAAAATGGCTTATAGACCATTTAGGGATGCAATGCCAAATTGCAAAGGTCATTCAGTAGATTTACAGAAACTCAGAGATTCTGTATGCTGTAATGCAAATGCACTACCATCAGATAGTTAAGTCGAATTTTCAAATTTATGAAGAATAGAACCAGGGGGTGTAGATGTGAATACAAACTTGATTGTTCTTATTTCATCTGTGGAAGTACAAGTTACCTTCTTTCCTTTGGAAATGTAAAAGGCCAAGAGAACAAATACAAGACTGATTTTAGAAAGCCAATCCAGGCACTGAAAATCCTGGAAGAAAATATACAGAACGAGATTTTGTAGAATCATGGCAGAAATTTTTATTTTTTGAAGTGTTTGCCATGGGGTGCATGTGCTTGCTGAAGAACGATAGAGAGAGGCAGTGAGAGGGAAAGTGAGGAATCGTCTGCCAGGTAGGGGAGGGGGGTGGCCATGCCACAGTCCCTTCTTCTTCATTCTCCTCTTGGGATTCTAGGCATGAATGCACATGCACCTGGTGCGAGTTTCAAGCTACCAGGCCTAGGACTTGAACCGTCATTGGCCATGTGGGAGTCCAGCACCTTAACCACTATCCCATTTGCTAGTCCACAGCAGAAAGATTTTTATGCAGAAATCTGAAAAAAGAAGCCGTGTTTATGTGCTGGCTGAACGAGTTGTAATCCACCTCTGTTTCAAAAAGATTTTAATTTATAAATATCTAAGGTATGCAAAATGATTGCAAAGGGGAATAGATCAAAATAAAAGAAATTTTAGGATGAAACTGAGATAAGCTAGCATATTGAAATATGTCTCAGATGAACCTGCAGTTTTAAAGATAATTGACAGCTCAGTCAGTAGCATGGCAGACTATGGAACTGGAAGTCCCTTGTTCTGCCCAGCTGTCCTGAAATACACTAGGCAGTGCATGCATGCCCAGGATCCTGGCAGGCTGAAGGACTGGACTTGATGGGATTATGGCATGACTGAGCCATGTGCAGTGTGCTTCTCTGTCTGTCTCTAGTGCATGCACACATGCTCTATCATGATTAAAATAAATAAATAATAAAAAGGTAATTCAAACTGTGTCTCTCAGGTTCAAAGCAGAAAAGATGATGTGAACAATTTTATACCATCTTTTGTGTCCATGAAATTGAAAATTACAGTTGCTCAGGGAAGTACAATTTTTCTAGCCTCTAATATACAAAAGAAATGTTTAATGGTTGCCAAGAAGAGAAGTTCTGCGTGCTGTAATGTAAATACACTACCATCAGCTTATTTCTACATTTTGTCCAAATGTTCAATCATGGTACCAGATTTTGCCCACATGGTCAATTATGATAATGTAGAAATCCTATTATGGACTAGGGACCAGCTGATAGCATAATGGTTGCTTTGCTGGACTCCCATGCAGTCGACCATGGTTGGAGTCCTGGACTTAGTGGTTTAAAACTCATGTCAGGCATGTGTGCGTGCATGTCCAAAATTCTAAGAGGAGAATGGAGGAGAAGGGATTGTGGTATGGCCATCCCCCCTGGGGGGGGATTTCTCGCTTTCTGTCTCTCTGGTAAGTGCATGCACCTTATAGAAAAATTCTTGCTTTTAAAAAAAAATTCTGGGCCCAGCCGTTTCGGTAATGGCTATGTCGCTGGACTCCCATGTAGTTGATTGCGGTTCAAGTCCTGGACCTAGTGGCTCAAACTGACACCAGGCATGTGTGGGTGCATGCCCCAGATCCCGAGAGGAGAATGGAGGAGAAGGGATTGTGGTATGGCCATCCCCCCTGGGAGGGGTGATTTCTCGCTTTTTTGTCTGTCTCTGTCTTTCTGGCGAGCGCATGTGCCCTATAGCAAAAGCCTCTAAAAAAATAAATTCTATAGTGGACCAAGGAGAGTTCATAATGTTCTATTTCTCAGAGCTCCTCACTTAGTCAAGGGAAAAACATTTTAGAGAAGATCAATTGTGTCTCCTACAGATACTTCTCCATTTTATATGTGTGTACGTGTATGTGCACACACATGTATTTGTATATGTAAATGTGTTTTTATTGGCCTGCATTTTCTCCTTAGCTAACTAACGCCTGGGGTGGATATGTTATCTTTTTTGGCAATGAGGGGCAGATGCATACTATTGAATAATCAAATAAACAGAACATAGGATTGATCTCATTTGGGAAACTTTTAAGTGTTTAACTCCATCTTTATTTGTAGAAGGACATGGTACATCAGAACTAAAGCATCTACAGTTTATTAGGCAGCCAATTATATGTCATGCTATCTAAATGAAGCATAATGAATTCTCTTTCAATTAAATTGATCAAATTGAAATAAAATAGGTTTTCTGACTCTAATCCAAAGAGTACTGGGGATACCTGAAGGCCTTTTTATTTTTATAATTATATCTTTAAATTTACATATAAGCTTCACTTAGAAGAAAATGCCCTGAAGTTGGGGGTGGGGGGGCTTTCTGTACTTAGTTATTCCTTAGGATTTACTTATTTATTTTGCTATAGGTTATGTGCACTCACCAGAGAGAAAGAGAGACTGACAAACAGAAGAAGAAGGAGTGAGAAATTACCCCCCAGGTGGCGTGGACACACTGCAATCCCTTTTCCTCCATTCGCATCTTGGTACTTTGGGCATATACACACACATGTGCTTGTTGTATTTTCCAAGTCACTGGATGTGGGACTTGAACTGAGCAGTTGACCATGTGTGATATGGCTGCCTTAATCATCACAGCCCCTTAGGTTTTTTTTTCCCCCAGCAAGGTGAATTTGCAGTCTTGTAGAATCTCAAAAGACAAGAAGATAAAAGGAATCCCTGTGACTCAGTGCCTCTTGGGTGCAGTGTTGATTATCTCTTGTTGAAATTAGAAGGTAATTTGTCAACAGGTAGATAAGGTTTTTGATATCCCAACCTTCAAGATTGATGAGGTGGCTTTTATTATATATGGTGCAGACTTTAGCTCAATGAATAATAAGTAAAAGTCTTGCAGAGACTTCTTAGCACACTATAGAAATGAATAATCAAGGGGCCAGCAGATGGCGTAATGGTTACATCGCTGAACTCCCAGATCTGGTGGCTTAAAACTCACCCTGGGCATATGTGTATGTGTGCCCAAAATCCCAAGAGAAGAATGGAGGAGAAAGGATTCTGGTGTGGCCTTCCCCTCGAGGAGTGATTTCTCACTTTCTGTCCACTCTGTCTCTGTCTTTCTGGTGAGTGCATGTGTCCTATAGGAAACATCTCTCTCTTAAAAAAAAAAAAAAAAAAAGAAATGAACAATTGAGAAAAAGAATTATGGTTGATGTGTAAGGAAGAGCATAGGATTCTTCCAATTTTTAGAAACAACTATTTTAGAAACAACTATGACAGGACTACTCTTCATTATATGTCCTATATAAAAACCAAAAAGTAGTCATGGACTCATAATCCAGTAAGATAATTGGAAGAGTGACTGGCTATTTTTGGTATTTATGATATATTTCAGTAAAAGTTTTGCTTTCTCACTGAGGAAATGGGTAAATTTATTCTCTAAGGTATTGCTTTTGTGCTTCCTTTCCAATCCAGAATCTCAAGCTGCTGTTTCGGAAACTGCAGAAAAACGTTCAGATGATGTCCAGCAGGTAAGAAGAGCTTGTTAGGATGTCAAGTCTTCATCTCGCTCATGTGTCTTAAAAGTAGACAGACTATGATTTATTTTCCCTTCTGAGCAGTTGGTAAGGATGCCCTTGTTTCCCTCAGCCTATGGGGGAATGTAGTCCGGCAGAAGAGGGATGTTTTCTTCTATTTATATCTTGCAAAGAAAATCAGCCTTGAAGTGGAACTGAGTACAGACCTTTCTGAAGCTGAAGCTGCTTCTGTCTATATCCAGTCAAAGAGATGGGCCTGGCACCAGGTGGCTCCTGCAGGAAAGAATGGTCACCCCAGGAGAATCTGTGCTGAGATGCGCCTGATCAAATAGTTTCATGAATATGATCTTTAAAGAAAATCTGTCAGAGCTTTTCTAACTCAAATATGATTCTTAAGTTGCTTGGGTAGATGAGACATTAGTTGGAGTCTGTTTAATGTGTGTGGAACTTTCTGTTACTAAAGAAACCAAATTTTGTATCTCTTTTCTTGTACCAAATGGATTTACTATTAAAAAAAATTGCAACAAAGAAAACATCTACATGAAATAGGAATTGTGGCTAGCAATTGCTCTTTTGGGTATAATACCATTTAAAAAATGTATTTATACTTTTGCCCAACTATGTTTTTGAGAATAACATGGTGTTATACATCAGCAGTAAGATGTGTTCTATCCTGCTGAGTGTGTTCTAGTAGAAAACAAGGAGACTCATACCTGGGTTCTACATTCAGGTCTGTTTCTGGTTAGTGTGTGATAACACAGATTGTCTGGACCTTGGTGTTCTCTGTAAAATTAAAGATGTGGTGACCTTTGAGAACTCTTTTTTAAGTATAAAATGACTTCTTAAAGGGAAGCCCTGCATCCTATATGAAAGATGTGCTCCCCCTGGAGGATAGACAGGGGAATAACATGGGCTGAGAACTTGTAGTCCAGTGGTGCTTTCAAAAATAGATATATTGGGGGAACCAGTAGTTAGCGTAATGGCTATGTCGCTGGACTCCCACGTAGTCGACCGCGGTTCGTGTCCCGGACCCGATGGCTTAAAACTCATGCTGGGTGTGTGTGGTGCGTGCCCAAGATCCCGAGAGGAGAATGGAGGAGAAGGGATTGAGAGGAGAATGGAGGAGAAGGGATTGCGGCGTGACCATCCCCCCTGGGGGGGTGGTTTCTCACTTTCTGTCTCTCTGTCTCTCTCTGTCTGTCTGGCGAGCACACGCGCCCTATAGCGAAAACCTCTCAAAAAAAAATAGATATATTGGCTATTATTTTAAGGATAAAACTATTCTTCAGGATAGTAACGTAAAAAATAAGTTCTCCAGATTATTTTGTCAGATCAGAGACCTATAATAATCTGGGCACTTTGAAGAGGCACAGTAGACTTAGTTGATGCTTATTTATTAACTGCAATGATTAGGTGCCCGTGAAGAGAGATGAAAATATTTAAATAGTAAAGTCAGCACTAAGAAAAATTGTGTTCTCAAAGTAGCCTCTCATTATTTTTCAGTTTTACTTCCCTTGGAGACATGACTAAATTGTGATCGAGAAGAATATATTCAAATTTTTAAAATTCTTATGTTTCGGAAATATTATGACTGAATTTTTGTTCTATATGGTAATGCTAGAGAGAACATAAATAAGATTATCCTATAATACCGTCAATGGGGGCCAGTAAATAGCGTAGCAATTACGTAGCTGCACTCCCACATGGCCAACAGCAGTTGGAGTCTCAGACCTGGTGGCTTGAAACTCACGCTGGGTGCGTGTGTGCGTGCCCAAGATCCTAGGAGGAGAATGGAGGAGAAGGGATTGCAGTGTGGCCATCCCCACCCCCCCTAGGGAGTGGGTAATTTGTCACTTTCCCTTTCAATGTGTCTTTCTGTCTGTCTGTCTCTCTCTGGTAAGCACGTGTGCCTTAAGGAAAAAACTAAAAAAAACAGACCATCAATGATAAAACATATACAACATTGCTTTACATATTAAAATGATAGTTACAATAGTTCAAGATATATGTTCATGTATTTAAAAGTATAGAATATCTTTATTTTTCTTGAGCTATGCACCATGGTAAAATACATTGTGGTTAGAAAAAAAAATGAATAGATGGGGCCAGCAGCTGGTGTGGTGGTTAAGGTACTGGACTCCCACATGGCCAATCATGGTTCGAGTCCTGGACTCAGTGACTTGAAGCTAACGCTGGCAGGTGTGCATGTGTGTGTTACTAAAATGCCAGGAGGAGAATGGAAGAGAAGGGGTTGTGGCATGGCCACCTGAGGGGGGGGGTGATCTCTTACCTTCTCTCTCACTGTTTCTCTCTGCTTCTATTTAGTGAGTGCACATGCCCTATAGCAAAACCTTAAAAAAATATCACACACACACACACACACACACACACACACATAAATCAAATGGACTGCACAATTTAAAAACTCCTGATGTGGGGCCAGCATGTTTTGTGTGGTGGTTAAGGTGCTGGATACCTACATGGCTGACTATGGCTTAGTTCAAGTTCTAGACCTGGCAGCTTGAAAAATCATACTGGGTGCATGCATGTGCATGCCCCAAATCCCAAGAGGAGAATGAAGAAGGGATTTAACATGCTGTTTTTCCCTAGGGGCACTTCCTTCTCTTTCTCTCTGTCTCTCTCCAGTAAGCACATGTGTCCTATTACAAAAATCTAAAACAAACAAACAAAAACACCTGGTGTTACAATGTGGCGCTTCAAGGGTAGATTGAATAAATGTCAATTTTCTTCTTTTCTTGTTGACAATGGTCTAGATGCCAGAAATTATACATAAATTAATTGTGAAGTGGCAATGTTAAGAAGCAATTGAGGTTAAACACTCAATAATATCACTTACTTTGGAACCGTTTGACACTGTTGTAAGTTTATTTCATAGGCTGGTTCTTTTCTTAGACGATATGGTATATTTTATAAGGACCTAAGATAAATAGTCAGAATGAGGATATATAGAACTAAAACAATTGTCAATTTACTTTATACTTATTCTTTTACTATATTAACCTCATATAATATTTTTCCCCTGCTACTTTCTTGTATTCATCTATCATTTCACTTATTCTTTTCCTATTCGAATGTCTTTTATTTGACTCGTCTAATTGCGTTGTCTAGGACTTCCAACACTACGTTGAAATGGAGTGGAAAAAGTAGGGATCCTTGTCTTGTTCCATTTTTAGCACAACTTTACATAATCTTTACAATAATCCCTTAAAATTGCTATGCTAATTTATTACTTAAATGGGAAAAAAAATGATGTTTCTAGGTGTTAAAAGTGATTTGTCTCAGGTCGCAAAACTGAATGGATAAAGGATAGAGCCAAGATGTGAGCATAGGCCTGAGGTTGTAAATCTCTACCAGGATAAAGTTCTGCTTTTACATGTGTGATCACCCCATGGCTGTTTAGTGTCATCGGATGGATAAGTATATTTTAAGTTACCCTATTATGTTTAAACTGTACCATCTTGGAAGAGTCTAATGTCAGGGTACATTACATATTAGTATACTAGTTCACCTATATATTTTGAAGGTTTACTATAACTTCCTGCTAAATTGTGTTAAGTTTACAAATTTTAGTGTTTCATTACTTTCAAAGTTTACAGTTTTCTTTTTCACGTAAAGCACCTTGCTTTTTTCTTCTTAGTCACTAGATGGCAGTTCTGTATCTCAGAAAATTGCCGCTGTAGAAGGAAATGAGAGGTTTTAAGCCAGTTTGCTTTGTATGAAGAAGGAAGAGAAGAGGTTTTCCGGTCTACCCAGTGCTGCCTTCATTATTCTGTGGTCGAAATGCGAGATCCCCAAGACTGTTTAGTCAGAGGCGTGCAGTGGGCTGAAAAGCATCCTTCAAGTTTTTCTTTAGACTTGTGTTCAGGCACCTGTTCCTTTAATCTGAGTATATTACACTTTATTGAATGAGTTTTGACTTTTACTCCCTCCCTGTAGTTAATAATTCTGAGAGCTCATATCCCTAGAAAAAACACATGACTCATAAAACATTTTCTCAACTAAGTGGAGCTGAGGGCCATGGTGTTGCCAGAGAGTCTGATGCTTAAAGCAAACACAACTGGCACTCATGCGTAAAAGGGAAGATCATAGCTATTCCTTGACTGCTTTTATCGATGGCCCTGTGGACTTAGGAGGTTTAAAATTAAAGTGCAGTCTTTAGATCTCATGGATTATTTTTGACTTCAAGTAAAATGCTCTGAAAATCTGCTCTGTCTAAAGAATTATGTCATAAACTAAAATGGCAGTGTCTTCTGATTCTGTTTTTGTCCTTCGGTATTTGAAATTCTACTTAAATTGTAAGACCTTTTATTGTCTATAGTATGTAAATAGCTAAATGCCAATTATTTATTTATTTTTTCTAAAGTTTATTATTTCCTGAGCAAGACAGAAAGAGACAAAGACACAGGATCCCTTATGAGCCCGATTCTATGGTTCGCCCTTAGCTTCTGCCAGGTTAGATCAGGACCACGTGTACCTGGTCTCGTCAGGGAGGTCTCTGGATGTAAACCAGCCCCCTTCTCATGTGGGTCTGCCTCACAGGGTATAGCATTTTACTGCTGCACTACCCTCTGGGCCCTACAGGCCAACAGTTTTCTTTAAAAACATTGGCGTTGGGTCCAGCAGTTGGCGTAATGGCAATGTTGCTGGACTCCCATGTAGTCGATTGCAGTTCGAGTCCCGGACATAGTTGCTTAAACTCACGTGCGTGCCCAAGATCCCTAGAGGAGAATGGAGGAGAAGGGATTGTGGCGTGGCCATGCCCCCTGGGGGGTGATTTCTCGCTTTCTGTCTGTCTCTCTCCGTCTTTCTGGCGGGCGGGCGCATGCGCCCTATAGCAAAAACCTCTCCAAAAAAAATTGGCTTCTGGGTTAAAAACTGGTGGTGTATGATAAATAGCCTGTTCTACCTGTTTGCTATCTAATTTTTACCTTTTTTTTTGTTTTTGAAATTATATGTAAAATTCTTACTTGGAA